CAGGAGAGGAGATGTACTTCTCGTGAGTCAGATATGACCTTTCAAAACATTTATGTTGACAGAAGGCCATCGTGATTTCATCTCCGCGCTGGGTTCCTGCGCGAGGAGGCATTCGGAGGCGTCGCGGTGTCTCCTGAGCGGGGCATGGAGGAGAAACCAGCTGAAGCAGGCAGGGCCGCGCCGGAGCAACTCTGCTCCGGCCGTTGTGGCTCGTCGGGAAGAAGCATAAGGGGAAGAAGGATATTACTGGGTTTGCCCTATTTCAGCTGCCTCAGCTGGGCTATGGGAGAGCCTAGGGGGGTGCGCTGTGAGGAACCCCTCCTGTGGGGAGGCTGCGATGTGGGGACCCGGTTCCTTCTTCTAGCAGGGCTAGGCCAGGGTGCTGCTACGAGCAAACAGCTGTTTTGGGGCTTTGTTCTTTAACTCCTCTAACAAGTGCAATCCCTGTGCACGAATGGCTGAGGATACCTGCAGAGCACGTATCATATGTGGTCATATTTCAAGGTCAAAGATACTGTTCTTCCTTCCTGAAAGAGCTGCTTAATATCGTAAAGGCCTCTTCTGGTGCCTATCTTAGCTTCTTTTAGATCCTGTAAAACTGGCGCTATGTCCTCAGGACCATAAATCCCCTTGCTCTTTGCTAGATCTCCGTGTAGCTAAGCAACCAATAAATAAATGGTCCCCACTGGCAGTCGGAGCATCTGCACCCCTTAATAAGCTTAGTGCACTTTGCACGGGTGAGGATCATCTCCACATCTGCAACAACAAACAGACCCAGCAGCCTTCTGGAAACTGTCCCCTCTCCCCAGGGCAGCAGGGTGTCCATCTCCTCCTTTCCCCTGGGAAGCCCGGGTTTGCCTCCTCTGTGGGGAATATTCAGCCCAACTTACAAGGCCAGGCTCTTCGGCAGGATGTTCACGTTGGCCGCCAGCTTCTTATCCATGATGGCCCTGGGTGAGACAGGAGGGGGAGTTAGTGCCTGCCCCCAGCCACAGGGACATTCCCTCATGACTGCCAGCACCAGCTTTGACATTGGAGACGTGGGATTTGTGGTTAATTATTACCCCGGGAAAGCAGAGGCAAAGGTGACCTCCAGCTGGAGCTGCTTCAGCTCAGGTCCTCCTGGCACGGCTCTGGGACTGTCCCCATCGTCGCCCCTGCCAAGCAGGAAGGCTGGGTGTTGCTCCTGGCTCGGAGCAGCACACGGGACCTGTCCCTCACATGGTGCAAGGGTCCTGCCCTGCGCCAGCCCTGTGCCCATCTCGCCGTGGGGACGCCAGGGCAGGGGCTGAGCCACGGGGCTGTGAGAACTGGGCCTGGGGTGGACACCAGGGGGTTTGTCTCCCAGTCCTGTATTTACACTGTCAAACTGTGCTTCTTCCTCACATAGTGGACTAAATGTGGATCTTGTTAAATTAACAACATCAAGGTTTTTCTACCCAAAATATCCTAGAAGTCTAAAGCCCAAATAAATTCCTTCCCTCCAGCTGCCTCCTTTAGTTGTGGGCTGATTTGTTATTGCAGAGCTGCTTGGGTCTGCCAGCAGAAGTGATATTTAAGTGATTAAAGAGTACTGAAGCAATCTCAGGCTGGATTTTGAGAAGAACTAGGTCAAATGTTGTGTTTTCTGACCACAGCAATGCCTGGGCCCTTCTCACAGAGATGGCAGCCCTATCCCTTTTCCAGGTTATTAAATACAGAGCCTTCCAAGGCTCAATTCAACAACCTGCAAAAATTAACCCCTCGTGAGCTAAATCATTAAAACCATTCCAGTTAACTTCTGCTCCACTCTCCAGGATGTTTTTGGCTCAGAGCAAGTTAAAAATTTATTGTCCTTCCATCCAGGGAATGGTACAGACTGGAGGTGATTACAAAACAAATTGGCCAGCGTGCCCTGAAGATGAGCAGAAGGAGCACAAGAGGTGCCTCCACGGCAGCGACCTGAAGACACCCTGGTCAGGGTGCTAGTACCAGCTGCATCATGCATTGCAATCTGGCCTCTGACCCCTAAAGACAGTGGGGCTCCTGTTTGAGTGTGTAAGCTCCTTGGCACGTCTTTACCGTCTTCCTGCTTTCTCTGTAGAAGTTTATACTTGCAACTACGAGCACGAGGCAAAGGTGCCCTTGTGGGGCTGCACAGGCTCTGCTGTGGGGCAGGGAGGAAAGCAGCTCTTTCTGATGACCCTGCGACGTCTTGCCACTCCAGCAGCGCACTGGAGAACCAGTGCCTGGACCCAGCTAGCTCCTGGGATTGGGTTTAACGTTTAAGCACAGCAAGGGGATGGAGATGGACTTCTCTCTGCCGATGGCTCAGAGGAACCATGGCCTGAGAAGACAGCCATCCGGGGAGGCTCCGGCTTGTTTGCTCTCACCATGTGTAGCCAGTTTGAGGCATTTAATGCTTGTAAAGCATCTTGAGTTAATCTGTAGATCAACAAACTGCAGCAGCACAAGCGGAGATATCCCTGCTGTGTTTATCGTGTCAGACACATGGCACGAATCATTTTGTTTTTGTTGCCTGCAACATCCAAGTCACTTGAGCGCAGGAGCCTTTTGATTTGGGTGAGTACCTTCTAATTGCTTCTGCTCTGTCACAATAAACTGTGATCCCAACTGAGATCCTGAACTTTGTTCTAGCAAGCTGAGCGGAAACAAGCGGCCACCATGGGAACGGGAAACGTTATAAGAAGCTGAACGTGATCTGTGGAAAAACGTCTGCATAATACATGAAATCTTTGGGTTAGGTACTTAATGTGTGTTTCTTTGTTCCTGCCTCACAACACGATCTGAATTGAGACAGATGAAATATTAATAAGCAGAAAAGCAAAGAAAACCGTATGCACAAATCTAAGGCAGAACCAGAGGCTGACAGGCTGCTCGGGTGTTAGCTAAGTTATGTGAGGTTCAATGGCCACACCATCCAGCCCAAAGGGGTCACCTTCTCGGAGCAGGCACAGGGGAGGGACTAGATCTCCTGTGTGGACTCAGGGTTTCTTCTGAGGATTTTAAGTTAATAGTAATCCAGATAAACTGGGTTAGAACCAGTGCAATGAACAAGCCAGATGCTGAATTCTACCTGCAGCTAATCTGCTTTCACAAACTCTGAACTCCTCTTCCTTAAAACCAGCTGAAAATTTCCTTGCAGTCTGATCCATCAAAGTGAGTGCTCTGCAGAGCAACGTAAAGGAAGAACAAGCATGACAGCACCAGGAAAACAGTGAGCAGAAAATAAGTGTAGAAGCCCTGTGTCATCCTCTACAACCATGGCTTATTCATCCAAGTTCCGAAACAAAGAAATAATTATTCCACCAGTCAAAACGCAACCGAAGTATATATATCTCAGCAATAGGGAGTGATTTATTTCCTCTCCCTTCCCTGCAAGATAAGGAAAAAGGAGTGGAAAACATTTGCAAAGCTGTTGAAATGAAGCATTTTCAGGGACTGAGGCTCTTTTCACCAGCCGTGTACAGTTACTCCTTTTTTCAGAAGACATCAAGCGGTACAGATATTATTCTGTTTGAATTTCTTAATACAGCTGGAGTATTTAAGGTGACACAAAATCCCTTTCAGTAGCCTGTCAGTTCCTGAACGACTGTTTGGGAACACTTTACAGAGGATGGGGAGAGTTTTTGGCAAGCAGCAGGGTAGCAGGGAAAACAGCACAGGAGGTGTTGCAGGGAACGTAACGGTCCATCGTAAACATTTCCCCAGTCAACACGGTTTCAGTACTTTGAACAAACCATCTATTGAGTCAGGGACTGACGGATATGTGAAAAAAACTGCATGAAAAATATCATGCAAAGTATCTCATACATTAAAACAGGGGGAAAAAAAAAAAAAAGAAGGTAAAGCCCTCATTCCCTGAAGTTTGTCTGGTGAGCAGAGTGCAGGCTTCCCGGTGGTACCTCACAAGTGCCTGTTCTGTGTTTGCTGTGGACCACTTTCAGTCTTTTCTTTGTTTTCATGGCAGTGTACTGTCCTTTCTCTCTCTCCATAAATGCTTCTCCTGGAATTGATCTGTGTTGTTCCAGAGAAAAAGGACTGTTGCAGATCAGAGAACAGGGGGCTGGGGCTTAATCCATCTGGGACCCCAGAGACTTAGGGCCATGGCTTAAAATGGGTCTTGAAAACGAAAGGCAGTGGAATAAATTGCGGATTGGTTTGCTATTATTGTGGCATTGACTTCAGAGGCAATTGTCAGCTTGCTTTTAGAAAGCACAGCTCTTGGTAAGTGGATATGTGATACAGAGAGAAAGGGAGAGGGTGTAAGAGAAAAGGAGCACCATTGGGATAGACATGCAAAGTACGGAGAAGTACGGCTCCTCTTGAGGGACTAGGAAAGGCTTCCTTCCACAAGAAGCTGCTTTCAAACAACTCAAGCAGACAAGCAGGGGTAGTGTCTCTGTACCTTGCAATATCCTTGGCAACCTGCTCGTTGAGACAGTTGATGAAGGCAATGGAGTGGGTCCCAGAGATGTAGCTGCCGGTGACAGCAGAGTGCAGCTGAAGAGCGAGACTCCGCAGCACCGGGTACATCAGCAAAGACAGAGTCACCACCTAAAACATACGAGTGATGAAGTCAGGTGACATATTGCATTGTGTAAGTTAAGCATTTACATTACCTGTGGCTCAGTGGAGGTCTCCAGCCTTCTTCCTTTCAACATTACAGTAATGCTAGCTGTAATTTGAGTGAAAACATGCCCAGAGGGAGATTCATTCCCCTCCAACGGGGCCAGTCTAGCACCGTGCCAAGTGCTCGGGGCAGGAAAGGGTCAGTTTTGAGGCTGTGTCTGCCCAGAGCTGTGCTGCGGGAGGGCACTCCCCGGACTGATGGGGGTTACAGACCCCACTGCAGGGCCTCAGCAGCCAGAACCGGCTTTCCGGAGACCTAAGGAGGTCAGTCAGTCACTGATTGTCTCTGGTAAAATACATTTATGTTGCAAAAAGGGGCGAGAAGGGAACCACCAGGTATGGCTCCCACATCAAGCACATCTTTCCTGCGGAGGACACATCCTGCAGCCGTCCTTTGGCCATGGGCCTGGGGTGAGGCACGTCCACCGCTCTGGGAGATGGTGGGGCCGGGACCCTCTGCCTCGCCGGGGATGTGGAAGGGAGGAGAGCAGTATGTCAGGTAGGGCTAGGGACCTGGCCACGGGACAGAGCTTCGGGCTGGAGCCTGCCGCGGGATCAGAGCCACGGGAAGCCTGGAGTAACATGGTCTGTGCCGGCACCGGGAGAGCTTCCGCCCTGCTCTGCCAGCCCGGGACGATTACGCTCGCCTACTGACAGACGTTGCGCGGCCACCCAGGCTACGGTACCGACTCGCACAGCAGGCAAGCGGGGATGAGACTTAAGTGCAGGTTTTAAGTTCATTTCATCTTAATTATCTGATACTAATAGGACAGTGAAATCGGATCCTTTCAGGCACAGAAATCCTAATGGACACAGCCTTGGTCTGTAGGGCTGTCTCTGTCCTGCCTGCCGGCAGAAAACAATAACGCTCTCTCCGTGCCCCGGCCGTGCAGTGGCAACAAGTTGGTTTTGCTGTACATTAGATGCTTTTCCTGGCAAGCCCCTTAGCTGCTCTTTGTACTCACACGCCATAAACACAGTCACGTAAAAATATGTAATTATCTCAGCGGGGATGTTGCTGGAATAGCAAGGTTAATTTGGTGCGCTGAGTAATAGCCGAAGGACGGTGCCCGTACCCGGGGCTGCAGCGCTCGCCGTCTCCGCACAGCTGCTCTTCTCTTTGTCTTTTGTCTTGGTTCTGAAATAAACAGCATCTGGCCCTTATTCAGCTTACAGTGGTAAAAAAATGTTTCTAAGACTAAGAATATATTCCTTTTTCCCTCTTATTTCCACCCTCCTTTGTCCTCCGAAAAACCTCCCATCACAGGGCCAATGTCAGAGTTTTTTTTTAAAAAAAGATTGAATTTAAAAAATCTCTCTTGTCACCACACAGACAGGAGCTCCTTTTCGTTTGGAAAATGGATGATGTGCTATATTGGTTGTCTCCTCTTTTCCAATCCATCTGAGGAAATATTCTTTGTTATTACAACGTTTCTCGTAATAATTTTTAGAGCTTCTTTTGTGCTCTTTTTTCCACTAAGCCATTTAACAAATATTATGCAACAAATCCCAGAAGCTACTCAGATAGTTACAAGTCAAACAGAGATATGCTGGTGTATCGGTTTTTCCAGATTAGAGTGTAATCATGCTCCCTGCTCAGGAAAAAAAATAATATCTGACCTGTTCAGCATGGCAATCATTAATCGTCTTGGAGATGTATCCGCATGTGAAGAGGAAATCCCCATGAACATTTGTGATTGAATATTAGTACAAAAGTGACCATTCTCTTGTTTTTGGGGGGGTTTCCCCCCCTTTTTTTTCTGAAAAGAAAGATAAAAGCCCCCTTTTTTTTTTTCAGAATAATTGTGTTTGCCAGGGGATGGTGCAAAAGTGAAGGAGTGAAACTTCAGGATTCCTACCTGATAAACTCAATAAACTCATGACTGCCAAAATGTTAAAATGAACAAAATTGAAAAACCTTATGTGAGATTTTAAGTATTTCACTGAAAAGCGCTGACCAGGAAAATGATATTTGAGTTTAGAGAGACTAAGATTTCTGCAAGATTTCTTTTGGCTTTCGTGAACTAAGAACAGCTTTAGGGCTTAAAATTACCATGCTAGGACTTTTTGCCTAGTTTTGATGAGATTCTGTACAAAAAAAACCCCAAACCCAAACACAAGTTGTGGCAATCTTGAGCATGCTGTGAGTTTCCTCAGCACAAGTGGAAAAAAACTCGTAAGAAATTTGCTTTGCTCTCTGCAGAGACCGAGAATACATTCCTCCTGCACGATCTTTTTTGTCCTTTTTTTTTTTTTTTTGCAGAGGTTCCCTTTTAAAGGTAGAGACGGAGGCGTTTCTATGGCTGCCTGGGTTCGCACCCACAACGCTCCCCAGTGGGTCACCCGCGTCCCCCCATCCCAAGCACAGAGCCGGCCCTGGCGGGGCGGGGGGGTTCCCACTTACCAGCAGCAAGGTGCCGCGGCCCGGCCGAGGGCAGCCCTGGGCAGCGGGCAGCAGCGGGCAGCGCTGGCTCAGCCACTCCATCTCCCCGTCTGGGCGAGAGGCTGCGTCCCCTCCGTCCCTCCACCTGCTCTGCCCTGAGCTGGGAAGGCTGCCTGGGAAGGCTGCCCGCAATGAGCACTAACTCCTCCTCCTCTTCCTCCCTGGCTGCCTGCAGGCTGGTACCCGCCTGCCTGCCCCAGCGCGGGGCTGAGGCATGGGCCCGTGGACCAACATGGCGTCCCCATGGCACGCCTGCCTCCCCACGGACCCTGCCCTGCCCTCCCCTGCCACGCCGAGCCCTGACACCCAGCCTCTCTGCCTGCCTGCAGGCAGCTCCGTGCACAGCCAGCTGCCCGACACGCAGAGCTGGGGAGGATAGCTGCTGGGGCCCATAGCAGGGACATATGTTCCCCGCAGCATCGATGCTGTTACCAAAACCGTCTGCACCCACGTCTGCTGGAGAAATCTCTCCCTCCGTGTAAGCACTGGGGTCCTCCCAGAGCCGTCTCAGGTGCCCTAAGACACTTGCCGATGCCATTTGGCACTTTTGCTTTGATTTTCCCATTTATAAAATAGTTATTTTCTCAGATTTAATATTGTTGGGGCTCTGTACCCTTTGGATAGAAATGACTAGAAATCTGGTAAGTCTTCTTGTGTTGTTTGGGCCTAAAGTGCTCCTGTAAGCAATCCGGTGCAGAGGAACAGAGCGCTCTGTTCTGCTCATGCTGTAACTTTATTGTATTACTGTTGGTTCCCATAAGCCATTAGGAAAACATACTCATCATCAGCGCGTGGAGCACAGCACTTCTGGTGCAGCAGCCCAAGCCTGGGTCTAGACTAAAGCCTCTGATGGCTGAACTGTCCCGGTAGGCATCGGTGGGCAAGCGCTGGAAGCAGAAGTTGTGCTGCCTGCTTGGAGAGGTGTGAAATACCCCCAGGCTCTGCAGTATGGTAACAGCCCTGTATTTGCTACACTCAGTTGTCCACGGGCTAAAAAAGTGACGTTTTCTTCTGCTGGTGTGAAGCAAACCCTGTGTTTTCTTGCAGCG